CTCTCAGGAATTTATAGTTCTGGCTGCTCGCTGCCCTGTAAAGCAGGAGCGGATAAGACATCCTGCCAACTTGAGACCGCGCTTGCCACTGCGGATCCCTGACTGTCCAATGCCTTGGGATGTCCTCTTGATGTGAAAGGTGCTATACGAATGCAATTTGTTATTGCTGTTGTTGCCAAACCAGTGCCAGCCAATTCCTGGGGGTAGGAAGCCAGCTCGAAGATCAGACAACACAACACTCCCTCCCCTGACATGTGACTAGGTTTCCATTGGAAAGGATTTGTCACTGGTCAGGTTTCATTACTCCAGCACCTTTTCAGGGAAAACAACAGCCGCCATGCTCAAAACAGAGGGAAAATGGCGTTCTTTGCTCTCCTCTCGGGACATGGCAAATGTAAATGAGTTTTAAGAAGTTCGGCTCACGTTAGGATAAATTTGCAATGGGGAGCTCGACTGACGACTTTAACCCTTTAGCCTGGGCAAGCACATTCTTTGGAGTGTCAGAGTCCTGTGCTGTTTCTGTGCAGAACAAAGTACCTTAGGTTGATGTTTCCATTCCAGTCCGATCCTCCATTGGGTGGCAGGTTAATCTACAAAGTACTAACTTGGCTTTCAGATGCTGACTGACCTGCTGTGGATTTCCCAGCATTTTCTGTTGAGGTTCAGGCTTCCAACCTGGTTCTAAACTCCCAGAACAACCAGCCTTCAGACTAGCCTGCGTTTAAAACACAACCCGATTTTAAGTATTGTTTCTATGCGATCAATAATGAATTAAATGGAGTGTCTCTCCAGGCAGTACTTGCCCTCTCTGCAGGTGTGTGTTCAAGCCACTATAGCGCTGAACAACAAAACTACTGTTTTTCTTTCACAGCAGAGTCCCAAAATCCTCCCCACGTGCGCAGAGGTTGGAATGCAGATTTGTTTTTTCAGTTGTGGCAAAAAGCACGTGACTGCTTCCGTGGACTAACAAATAAAGACCGGCCTTCTCGAAACTCGCAGCATTTTTGCCAGGCCTCTGTTTAGACAACACCCAGTCCAGGAGTTTGAGACACAGCATGATTTGTGAGTGATCTGTGTTACAGACAAATACAGGTTTTACTGAGCCTTTTGCAGTGGAATTGTTGGTTGGGTGTGGGGGCGGGGGTTTATAATAATAATAATCCTGGCATTTGATACAGCTTTTTGTCAGGTGATTGAGGCATCTCAAAGCGCTTCACAGAATATACTGCAAAGTGGATTGATTGACTGTATATTTTGTGGGCGGAACCCGGCAGCCAATTCCACACAGTATGAACCGAAGAACAAAAGAGAGTTTTTTTTACGAAAGTTAAAAAGTAAATGCAAATACAGGGATCATCTGTCTGCCTTCAGCCAAGTTATAACACAATCATCGTCATCCTTGAATTTAATGCAGTGCTGGATCACATTGTCAACGTCGATTTTACTGTAAAGTGGAGTTGTCTAGACTTGTAGGTATACGTGGCAGCCAATTGGCACACTGCAAGGTCCTGCAAACATCAACGAGTTGAACGGCTACTTTATCTGTGTGTGTGTGTGTAGTTGGTGGGGAGCCTGAAATCCGGGAGGAATTTCCTTTTTGAATAGTTTGTTTGCGATTTTGAATTGTTCCACTCAGGAATGTTAATGTCCACCCGAAGAAGCAACAACAGCTTGTATTTATATAGGGCCCTTCACACTGGATGGCATCCTGGAACAGGCAGGACATCAGTTTTATGTCTCATCTGATAGACAGTGCTCTCTCAGCACTGCACTGCAACGACAGCCTGGACTGTGACGATTCGGGCTGCTGACACCGAGTGCTGGTTAGCTTTGTATCTGTACTGTTCTGTTTGCCAAATTAGAACTTCCCAAGTGAAACCCCAGTCAGGAGCACGTTCGTTCTTATATTAGTTACACGAGTGTTCTCTCTGCAGCGACATTCCTGGAAGCGGGGCGGGGTGGTGGGGGGAGAAAGAGAGGGGAAATAATTTATTACAGTAAGTTGATTCCTTTTCCAAAAGGCCCAAGTCATCTTGAGTTCTGGAGACCAGTTCTTGTGATTATAAAAATAAGATTAGAACAAATCGTACGCAGCTTAATGCTAGAAACCGCACATAGCTCAGCCCTCCCAAGGCTTGCAGTGAAATCTAAGCTGTTGTTAGCAGTGCTCAAGGTGCTGAGCACAGTGGAGGGTTTGTGTTTGAGAGCAATTACAGTACTGCTGCAAACAAAAGCCCCGTCTTTCATAGCTTGAGATTCCTTTATTGATGTAGCTGTGTGAAAGTGTTCGTACTTTTGTTTTGTTTAGGGCTGGGTTGATCCTGATACAGGAGGGATCATGCAATGACTAATTGTTCAATATTGGAATATCAGATGAGGTTCACCCCATGTTAACAATATCAACGGAATGGCTTCAGCTGCAGAGCTGAAATTCCACCTGGTCTTCCAACTGTTTAAGCTCCATGTCAGGACTTTGGACTCGATCTCAGCTGACACTCGGTGCTGGGAGAGTGCTGTGTTATCAGATGTGCCATCCTTTGGATGAGAGAGACATTAAACTGAAGTCACGTCTGCACCTCCTCAGGTGGACATTAAAGATTCAATGACGTGAATCGAAAAGAGAAGGGAGTTTCTTCTGGCATCCTGGCCAACAATCCACCAGATAAAATTGACCATTCGCCTCACGGCTGTTGGTTGAACATTGCCTTGCGTAAATTAACTGCCGCATTTGCTCACCCCAACAAATACACAGACATGTCACTTTACGGTAAAATCCTATGAAGTGCTTTGAGATGTTTCCCCGACTGGAAAGGCGTTACGTCAAACAGAAGGATTATGACGATTATTAAGTTCGCAGAGGTGGAAAGCCACGGAAACTTTTGGGGTGGGAGCTGGTTCTCTGCATCAAGTGCTGGAAGGCTGAGAGGTAATGTCCTCAGGCCGGTCAGGCCACCGTCCATCTCGCCAACCCAGTGAATTCCTAGATTCCAAAATTCCAAGTGGGCCACATGCAATTCCTATTCTTAGCTTCAGTCAGCCAGGCCTGAACAAACCTAATAATAATGGCTGTCACTGCAGTTCATCTCCTATTATAACTGAAGCTTGCTGGACTCTTTGCACTATTGCATTTCACCCAGAAAGTGAAATAGGCAAATGGCAAAGCTACTTTGAAATAGGGAATAATGTGCAACGATGAAGTAAGTTCAGAACGACCGTCGGTTAACCCACATGATCAAAGAACTGTGATTAACAGCGAGGTGCGTGTTGGGATTCCCGTTTACACTCTCACACGCTCCTGCTTTGTCTTGCACACTCGCCGATATGTGAGCTAGTGCACGCACACTGCCGACTGGTACTTGGCGTTCTCTCTCCTCGTGCTTTTTTTTTTCGAATCAAACTTAATAATCCTAGCGTTTGATACAGCGCCTTTCACTTCGGGAAGACGTCTCAAAGCGCCTCCAAGGATAAGCTCTAAAGTGAAGTTGTTGTGTGTTTTGCGGGCTAAGCAGAGCATAAAACTAGGCAGGTCTGATCAAACCGCTCTGCTGGGTTGGCAGAGAGTTAATTCTCCACCACAGATCGGTGTGGGCAGCCTTCCCGACATCAGTTGTTGTGGGAATTCTAGCCGTCCGTGGCTGTTCCCGGGGCACAAGTGCCTGCTGCGTTCTGCGAAGGTTAAAAAAAAAACTCTACACTTGGCAGCAGTGACGCTGAAGAGCTTTGCGACGTTTTGACATTAGACTTGTTAAAAATGCAGTTTCTTTCAATTAAAAAAAAAGGTTCTTTCCAAAGCTATTTTTTTGATATGTGGAAAAGAATGGGCGTGAGAGTAAGGAACAAAATCATCATTTATTCACTGAGATTGGAAATTTAAATGAGGGTCGGGATGTAACTTTGGTTTTAAAATGTGTACCGTTAAGACCTGATGGTTTTTTTTGAACAGTTAAAATCTGGGCGCATCACAGAGTGTGGCGCTAGTTTAATGTTAATAAAGCTGTTGTTAAATGCGTGTTCTGGTCCTCGTAGAATGAAAGTGAGTGCCTGTAAGTGTTTAGTTCTGATCCCAGACAATTCAGTCATTCGAGTTACTTTGAAAGGCCTTAGTTCGGATCCTGGGTGCTGAGCTGAGAAGATTTTTGTTTTTATCAACAAGGTTCAAAAGGAGCAGAAAAAACATGAGCAATCCAGATGTAGTTAGATGACCACCCCCAGCCCTCAAGCTTGGGTTTTGACACAGGCTGTAGATTGTATGAGGAAGATTGGGAGAGATGAGGCATGATGCTGGAAAAGAAGGAGTTAGTCGAGGCTGAGTTGAGGTTTTATTATAACAGCTGAATGTTTGAGAATGCCATCATGAAGGCAGAGGGAGGGGGGTATATTTTCATGCCAGGAGGTGATGTTCATGACCTTTATTTTGTAAAAGAGCCAAAAGGTTGCAAGCATTTGAATTCATTTTGTTGCTCAGCAATTTCAGGCACCGTGAAGGTACATCCATTGGTGAATGGGTAATCTGGAGGAATAATTTGTAAAGAACAACAGGTTACAATGGTGCCAAGAAGTGCAGACACTGGGTAAAGCAGACAGGAAGGAGTGTTCAGAACAAGGGAGCATGAATATAACATGGCTAATCACAGATCTGAAAGCAATTTTACGCTGAGGACAGTGAGAATGTGGAACTCACCGGCGAAAACTGTGGTTGAAGCAAAAAGCATCACCGTATTTAATAGAAAACTCAATGTGTACCTGAGGGAGAAGGGAATAGAAGGGTACGGGAGGGGGCTTAAGGGGGGAGTGGAGGCTCAAGTGGAATATAAACAACGTGGGTACAGACTAGTTCGGTGGAACAGTCTGTTTCCGTGCTATATCATTCTGTTTAATTCTGTATAACCCTGGAAGAAATTGGTGCAATATTTAAAAGTTCTGTTACACCATCTAACTCTGCTTATTCTTTACCCAAACAATTAACCTCCTCTTTCTTTTCTTCTCTCTGTTTTCTTCAGACCAGGGATGATTTTCTGGGCCAAGTGGATGTTCCCCTTCAATACTTTCCGGTAGGTTTTCTCTAATTCCAAGAGACAGAGAGTGAAAGAGTGATATCAAATCGTAGCGAATGTAAGAATTATTCTGCCTCATAGGTCAATTGTTTATTGCATGTTGCCTTAAAAAAAACTGTGTGAAATGACACTAATTAAGAGATTGCACTAAACAACACTAATTAAGAGATTAAGAAAAGGCTTGATGCTATAATGGAAAAACGGTAGCGTTGGCATTCTGCAAAGAGGAGCTCAAATGAACTGAAGGGCCTTCTTCAACCAAACCTCTCTTGTGATTGTGTGAGGAACATCATTTTCTGTTGGGATTGAGGATGGGTGAGGCGTGAAAGAAAGGGGTTCGAACCCTTGCTTGTTCCTTGAATTGACGCTTTAAAAAGTATTTCGACCATTTCTGGTTGAAAGGAGGTTATGTGCAGATGCCGGCAGCCAGTCTTGAGGAAAAAATAGAAAGGTTTAAAAAAAGACAGTGTGATGGAAATGTAATCGCGTATGACCGAAACCCACAACCAATCATCATTGGATCCCCTTTTAACTGCAGACTGAAAATCCGGATCTGGAGACTCCCTTCGCTTTCAGAGATTTTCTCCTTCTTCCGAGAAGGTAGGTGAATGTGTCGTGCTCAGCAGTTGCAACATACATTGAGCTTCCCCTTGGATCACCCTTCCTTCCAGTACATGTCTCCAGTGCACCAATTATTTGATCCGAGAGAGTAGCATCAATGGAGAGTAGTGTCAGTGCATGGTTGGATTGGCCCAATTGACAGTGATTTTTTAATTGGAAAATCACACCACATTTGCTGTTTTCCAGCTTGTGCAATCCTGGTGCAGTTGCTATGTGTTATTTTAAGGTGGAAATTTTAAGTGCACTGAAACTGTCCTTCAGTTAAGAAAGATGCTGACAAGTTGCAATAACTTTTCTTTTATATATATATATATTATGCACTAATGGGGAGAAATTCCCCCTCTGGGTTTAGATTTATTTTATGTCACATTTCAGGACATCCAGAATTTAGCAAATTGATGAAATCATTACTTTGCAAGTATTTTTCTTTCTGTAAGTCTTACAGAAAACTAGCACCAAAATACAGGCTGTATTTGAGAACTTGCCAAATTCTGTACACTGTAAAATGCTGTATAAATCGAACAAACCTAGACCCATGTTGAATTTTCCTCCTTAAAGCCAAGACAATTGGGCTGGGAAGCTTTGGTTCATCCAATCCCAGTGTCTATCTCCTCGCACAGGCAAATGCACCTTCAATCCCCTGCAAAGTGATGACCAGAGCAGTTTATGGTTGTTTGCGGGACATTGCTATGTGCAAATTGATTTGGCTACAAGTACCCAGTCATTACATTTAGCAGTGGAATCATGTGAAGAGCTTTGAGACGTCTCCATGATGTGATAAGGCGCTAGATCAAATGCAAGGATTATTATTAACGCTATTATTTAGCTTAATTGATTGATTGATTCATTCATTCTCAAAGTACTCGGAGATGCAACCCTGCATGAATGGCCCTATATAAATGCAAGTTGTTGTTATTTGTGCTGTGCTTCCCCCAGTTATAAATCAAGGGTCAAAGGGCACCTTCGACTAAAGATGACCTACCTTCCCAACAGTAATGGTGAAGATGACAACACAGAGGAATCCGAAGAATCCGAGGTGAGTGCAATCTTATAATCTGGCTTCCTGACTTAGTGTTAAACATTCTTGTGGAGTCATTTTTTTGCCAACGTATAATATTTTAGCTTTCTTTCCCAGTAATGCCTGGAAGGCCTGATATGGATCTGGTTAGATTTTGAAACTAAAACTACACATTGTTTTTGAATTGCTGCTTGTAATGATGTTCAGGAATCTGTAAGGTCCCAAAAATACCTTAAAAAAACGTGGAGAGTGTATTTTTTACTGTTTAAATGCATTTTTGCAATATTTTTAAGAACTTTTAACAAAGCGGTTGAACCTTCAAGAAAGAGTACTTGATTACAAGAGAGGCTGGGTTGAAGAAAGTTCTACGACCCATTTGATCTCATCCTCCCACTCACCCTACCATCCTTGTTACAGCATCACGCTGTTTCTGAAACATATTCTAGCCTGGACCACCCTTCCTGATAACCCATTCCATTCGTCAATTGCTCTCTGTGTAAGGAAATTACCCCAAGTGTCTGCCCTGAAATTGCCCTTTACAAAACATTAATGTTTTTGAGCACGCCCTTGCAGCGGTAGAACTTAGGACAGAATGGGTGATTATAGCCGAGGTTTGTATTCCTTTTCGTCCACAAAATACACACATTCACGCCACTTAATAGTATATCCTGTAAAGCTCCTCGCGGTGTCTCGATGACATGATAAGGCGCTATATCAAATGCAAGTATTATTATCAGTGCTCCCAGACAAGATGTTTATTCAATTTTTTCAGATCTCTCGCAAACTGTCTGTTGCTTTCCAATATATCAGCCTTATCAATATTCTTTGAATGAACACAATCTTAGTTTTGGCCCCCTAAAATAATCTGAAATGCTCCAGTACTCCTCAGAAGGTTTGACTTGCTGCATTTGACTTTGCTATTTTTCTTTTAGCCCAGCTGGGAAATTCTGGACCAACAGGATATAAATGTCCATCAGCAACAACTCCCTCTACTGCCCTCTGGCTGGGAAGAGAAGCAAGATAACCTGGGCAGGACTTATTACGTAAACCATGAAACCAGGACAACGCAGTGGATTCGACCAAGTTCTCAGTAAGTCTTCAGAATTTTATGTCGTTTTGCTAAGGAGGTAACATCTAAAGAGCAATAAGAACAAATGTGCAGAGGGGGAGCTAAGGCTGAAAAGAGGTGCTCCTGTTTGATTGATTGCCTAGAATTATTCCTTACAGCAGGCTTTTAATGCTGCACTCTCTCTTCACTTGCAAGTTGTTAGCAGTTTCCAAAAATAACCAGTGCCATCGGCCTCTCTGTGCTTGTCGGGGACACATTACGTTGAGCGTATTAGATGTAATGTACAGATGTAATGTATTGTAATCTAATGTACTGTCAGTGAAACTAGGCCAGACTATAGATTGGAAGGGATGCAGTTTGGCAAAAGAGGTGAAGAGACTTTTTTTTTTAACTCTTCTTGATGTTTTTGTAACTCAAGCTGTTTAAACTTTGAAAGAAGTTAATTTGGACTATCAGTAAAATCAGCCTTGGAATCTCAGTGGCTTTCATTGTACAATCCAAATCGAAGGGGGTGGGGGGGGGGGGTCAGGCCCTAAGTCATTTAATGATTCTTCTCCCATTTAAAAAAAGATGTGCACCAAATGAACATACAGAAAAGGTGATCTTTTGTAATGTTATAATAGACCTGTTTTGCACCATTACTAAGGGCAGTCCTGTGCATTTGATTGAGATGCTCTGCTAAATTCACATTTATTTCACTTCAACAACAACAACAAATTACGTTTGTATAACACCTTTTACGTCAGGAGGACGTCTCAAGGTGCTGGGCAGTCAGGGACCACACCCGAGCTGGTGGTTGGGATCAGGAGGGGTGGAGGGCAGGGAGGTTAGGGGTAAGAGGGTGGCTGAAGGCGCGGTCGAAGAGGAGGATCTTGAAGGGGGCAATGGAGAAGGTTAACCACTTTGTTCCCTATTAAAATTGGAATTCGACAAGTCTAATGCTGTGATGGGAGGACAGGGTGGGTGGGGTGGGTGTTGGAGAGATGAGATCAGATGGGCCGAAGGGCCTTAGTTATCCAAACCAATCTTGTGAATCACAATTAGTGTAGGAGTCCCCTCCTTGATAGATGAGGCTGTCCTTGAACTATTATTGTATCATGGAGGGTTGACTTCTTTTGATGAATCAAGCACCTTTAATAATGGCTGCAATATTTAAGACATAACTGATGAGAAAGCGATCGCAGGCCATAATTTCTGAAGCGTTTTGACCAACTGCTCCCGATCTGTAAAATGAATCCTTCATCTTTCTCCTACAGGGACTGCGCAGCTGATATAAACCGTTGTCGGAATAACATTGACCTGGAAGCACAGCATGCATTCAGCACACGCAGACAGATATCAGAAGAAACAGAAACTCAAGAAAACCGAGATTCCCCTGATGCAAGTCTCAACATTTTGCTTTTTTGTCTTAAAGATCAAGTGTACAAAGAGAACATGATGTAAAATTATGCTTTGCCATCTGTCAGTTGAGACAGACTTTAAGCTGGATTCTCCCCTGACTGGTCAGATGGATGTTAAAAGATCCCTTGGTGCTATTCGAAAAGAAAACACATTCAGACAGATAAAGAATGGTTGTTTACTTCATGGCTGTTTGTGGAACTATTGCTATGTGCAAATTGGCTCCCCCGTTTGTCTACACAGTTCAATACAACAACTTGGATTAATACTGTGGCCTTCAGGCAGGATAGCGTCTTGGAGCACGTAACAATGACGGAGCTTGTCGGCACTTTACAGAAAATACTTTATAGAAATCACGGTTAAGCAATTTGAGACACTTTAGACGCTATATCAAATGCAAAAGATGGTTATTAAAACTAATTTAATAGCGAACTGGAAAACAACTGGATAATTGACTTTGAATATCTTGAATGTCACGAATTGATCAATCTAAGATCTTCTTAGGAATCAATCCAGCATTTGCCAGTTACAGCATTAACAAATACACTGAGCTGCTCTAACTGTATGTGCGCTTTTTTGTTCATTGTAAATGTATTTGTAATGTGTAAGCAAAATAGTGATTTGTGATCATCAATAAAAAATTCTCTCTTCTTTCCCCAGGGCTGGGAAATCATAACCGAAGATGAAACTGCATATAACAACTGCAGCCCTCAGTCCCCGCCACCTCCCCATACCCCCACAGGGCAGAACGCTTACTGCGATGTCCAAGGCCAGCTTGCTGAGGAGCTTAACAGGAGGCTTCAGGCTTCTGGATGCACAGCAGATCGACGCAGCTCCTGCTCAGTAAGTGGATGGCCTGGTCACATTTGAGCTTGTACAATGCATTGGGATCGTTGGGTTATCTCTCCTGTATTTGGGAAATGCGCGTCTGGGAAACAACACTGAGATTTGTGTGTGCATGTGTGTGTGTGTGTGTGTGTGTGTGTGTATGTGTGGAGTCCTGTAGCTCAGTGGTTAGAGCACTCGCTTTACAAGTGAGAGACCTGAGTTCAATTCCACGCCGGTCAGGGCGAAACCTTGGGCAAGTTTCCTTACTCCACACAGAGCCTAATAATAATCCCTCCAAAAAACAAAAACAATAATAAATTGGTCATTTTCAATCCATGACTGTTTGTGGGACATTGCTGTGCGCAATTGGCTGCCACGTTTGCCCACAAATATACAGTCAATTCACTTTACAGTATATTCTGTGAAGCACTTTGGGATGTCTAGAAGACATGAAAAGCGCTATATCAAATGCAAGGATTATTATTATTGTGTGTGTGTTTGGGTGTGTGTGTATGTGTGGGGGTGTGTGGGTGGGTGTGTGTGTGGGTGTGTGTGTATGTGTGTCGAGCATCATGATCTCCATCTGAAACTCTTCCTGGATGATTCCCTTTTAGTAGCTTACGGCAGGACTTGTCATTGAGGGCAGTACAAGTTATCAACTGTCACACTGCACCAAATTCTGTCTCTCCACTTATCCCGTACGCATGTACACTGTTTGCACATGTCATCTGTCTCCCTTCGCCAGATGAAGTGGGCAACAGACAGACGCTGCCTTTTTTTTAACCTGAATCAAAACTCTTGAGTTTAAACTGCAACACCCACAAACTGTGTTACACTGTACTGTGCCACCCGTCGATTTGAATCATTCTTAGACTGAGAATATTATTACTCTTTGAGCAGTTGTGCTTGCTCGCTTATTCAGTTACGCTGATACATTTTTGTACGCATCTCCTAGAGAAATGCACAGTGAGTACACATGACAGTGAATCCTGTGAAACGCTTAGAGAAGTCCCCTGAAATAGCAAGCACTATATCAAATACAGGCGTTACTATTTGATCTTGCCACACAGACTTCATTCTGGACCTTTCGAGGAGGTGGCTTCTCAGGGTACTGAAGTGAATTGAACTTTACGTTGTAAAGTTTTCGTTCATCTCCCTGCTCGTTACATCTTACGATCTGCTGTCTCTTTTCCAACAGAGTCATTCCAGCAGACGGGGAAGTTCACAAACTATCGTTGAAGAACAGCCCATGTTGCCAGTCGTAAGTTTTAACCTTTTGTCGCTCGGTTCGTTGTAATGAAATGCACAGTTCTCCTTCGTTTGCTCAGCACTCACATTGGGATGAACAATGTCTTGAGTCTTGGCAGTGTCTTTACCAATTGAGCCATCAGGGAGTATATCAGACGACAAAATTATTTTTGAAGTATCCATTGGGTGTTGCTGTTGTATTTTTGCGGGTGTTTAGAACAAATCCTATTGGAAACGTGTAATTCAACAGAAAGGACCAAATCCTCTTTGACTCTGTGGTTGATTTCAATGCAAAATTCTACCTCGCCCCACTCTTTACAATGAAATGTTGTCACCGGATACGTCAGGCTTTCAGTTTGATTTGTTCTCCTTTGCCAGATTTTACCCACTTCGGCGGGATTGCCACCGGGCTGGGAAGAAAAGAAGGACGACAAAGCGAGAACTTACTACGTCAATCACAACAACCGAACCACCACGTGGACGCGGCCCGTGATGCAGGTGTGTTGTACTTTGCAGGTGTTTCTGGGACGCCGCTGTGCGCAATTGGCTGCCGCGTTTCGCCCAAAAAATATCCAGTCAAGTCACTTTACAGTATATTCTTCGAAGCGCTTTGAGACGTCTCGAAGACGTGATGAGGCGCTGTCTCAAATGCGAGGATTATTTCATTATTATGATGCCACTGTTGTAATTGGATGAGACCTGTGCCAGCGTTTTGCTGTGACAGAGGGAGTCACTCTCGAATGCAACTGAGGGAGCAGCGTTTGAATATATATATACATATATATATATTAAAAAAAATACTTTTCAATCCCGATTTCTCCTGCAACTTCCTCCCACCAGCGCGACACGACAGGGCAAGACAGGCTGCACCATCTATTTCTCCCTGGTCTGCTTGGCTCAGTCGCTAGCACTCTAGGCTCCGAGTCAGAAGGTGGTGGATTCAAGCCCCCACGACAGGAATTTGACGTGGCGCTTGAACACACAACCTGACGCTTCAGTGCACTGTTGGGGGAGTGCTGCATTGTTGTTTGATGAGACGTTAAAAACCGAGGTCCTGTCTGCCTGTTCAGTGGACATCAAAGCTCCCATGTTACAATTCGAAAAGCGAAGGGAGTTGCTCACAGTGTCTTGGCCAATAGTCCCCCAAATAAAATCGGTCACTCACTTTGAGACGCTGACTGTGTGCAGGTTTGGCTACTGTGTTCGCCTGCAAAATACACAGTAATTATACTTTACAGTGAGTTCTGCGAAGGGCTTTGAGACATCCTCCTGACGTGACGAGCACAATATCAAACGCAAGGATTGGTTATTGCTGCTTCTGTTGGATGCCTGGTGTGCTTTGCTTTTGTGGGTACGAATTTATGTTGAAAAGTTCTCCCGACAAGAAAGGTCACGATTGAATCCTCTGCCGCCAGTAACTTTGTCCCAATAAACACTGCTGCTGAGAGCTGGTGAAAATTACTACTTGGTGTTGATTAATGCAGTGAATCAACAACAGCACAACAAGATTGCATTTATAAAGCGCCTTTCACGTCGGGAGGACGTCCCAAGGCGCTGGACAGTTGGGTTGGGACCCGAGCAGGGGGAAATGGTCAGGGTGAGGGGAGGGAAGGGTAGGGAGGGAGCGAGGAGGGGGTAGAGAGTCGAGAGGGGAGCTGAAGGCACGGTTGAAGAGAAGGGGCGGATTCCAGTCATTGCCAGGTCAGTTGATCTCAAGTCAACACTGGCCTCTGGGTTGTCACACCGGCGAACCCATCACCAGTGCTCCAGGATGACAGCAGATTAACCAGGATTAGTTTTCAGAATGGCTTTACGTCCACGCCTTGCCCATGTAATGGACTAAAGTTTCTGAGGTCTGGTTCAACTAGAATTACTGGTGCTTTTTCTTTGTCTGAGACTTAAACAGCTTTGAGACTTGAACCGTTTCTGTTTGGACAAGAATCTTGTGGCAAGCACTGGGCAAAGTTCTGGTGAGGTGCCCACAATTGGTAACAATGTGAAACAGTTCCCATACTTGGCACAGTGAGGTCACCCATATTAGATGCTCACAAGGGGCGGTTTCCAGTCATTGCCAGGTCAGTTGATCCCAAGTCAGCACACAGGTTAAGAAGATAAATCACCTGTTGTTTTCGAAAGTTTCAACCCTTCCCCAATAATCACGTCATCAAGTTTCATCGTCAAATAACCAACCATATCTACAGGCTTCTGGGCCATTATCCTCAATTTGGTATTTGTTTCACGTAAATTTTGCTGTTCGATGCGTTGTAACTCGCTACTTCAGCCGAAACGCTGACGATTGTGTTCTTGTGTGTGACAGACCACCACGGAGGCCGTACAGCCAAAGCTCTGCCTGAGTCCCACCGCTTACCTTCCTCCACAGTTCTCTCCTCAAGACTCTCCGCAAAGCTCCCCCAGCCACAAAAGGAAATACGAGTCGGGCTTCCTCCCCCCAGGCTGGGAAGTCCGGTACGCTCCCAACGGTCGATCCTTCTTCATCGATCACAACACCAAAACGACCTCCTGGGTAAGGAGCCTGCTGTCGGTGCTCTGGGGCGTTACCCTGGGTGAGGGGCTCTATATGATTACAACTTGTTGTAATTATATAGAGGGTTGTTCCCCTGATTTCCCCCACGGCTCTCCTGCTAGCGTGAATAATTTGGGATCTTTCATTAAAAGAAGTTAGAAATCGGTTTGAAACAATGTCTTGTTGCAACTCATCTTTCGACACTTTGTCGCCTCGGTCGGGTTGAATAAAATGCGTCAGTGTATTTGAGAGGGCACTTGGTGCCTGTGTGAAGGTGAAGGGACTAGGAAGGGTGGAGGCTCATAAGGAGTAAATGCTGTTTATATTCGGTCATAAAATTCATATGAAGTAGTTGGACCAATGGCCTGTTTTCATGCTGTATCGCTGAATGTTTTTTTATTCCCTTTATCCGTGTAACCAGGATGATCCACGATTGAAAATTCCAGCTCATATGAGACATCGACCATCTCTAGACCCCTCAGACCTTGGACCACTTCCTGTAAGTGACTGTCTCTTCTCTTTCCCCCTAAACCCCCAAACCCCCCCACCCCAATCTGCCCACCCCACATATTTTCATGGAGCTGAAGCATTTTGTCTTATTTTTAACCTTTTTTTGATTTGCCTTTTTAATGACATTTTTCAATGAAATATCTATTTCCCCGCAGCCTGGATGGGAAGAGAGGATTCACTTAGATGGCAGAGTTTTCTATATCGACCACAGTAAGTACAATGATGAATGCAGAAAAATAAATCCTGTTTCAAGTTGCATCACGTAGCATCACACGGCACGCACACCAGGTCATTTTGGCCGAACTGGCTCACGCTGGTCGGTGTTTATCTTCCACATGTTCTTCTCCTTCTTGTCTGCAGCAGGGAGATCCACATTCTCACCACCCCTCTGCGCTAACAAGCCAGCCGCCCGCGCTAAAATATAGGTCAACTTCCAGGACGTCAGGTCATCGCTGACGGCACTTCCTGCGTATTGCAACCCTGGCCTTTAAGATCAGGAAACTCAGCATAAACTTGGCGACACTTCCTGGCTTTGTGTGTCTCTGTTTCGCTCGTTGCCGGTGGCTTTGCCAGTTGAGTCACGGGGGCAGATCAGTTTATTTTTCCCATTTTTATTTCATACAATGACTTGCTTTGACGTCTCAAAACTTCCCTTAAGATAAAGACATAATAAATGGAATCCTTTGTTTGTGACAGATACCAAAGCTACCCAGTGGGAGGACCCTCGTTTACAGAATGTAGCAATCACCGGACCTGTAAGTGGGAAATTGTTCTTTAATATCCTGACTTTAGTTCATTGAATTTGATTGCCTTCGAGTCTTTGAGCGCAGACGTGTGAGCAATTGTACACGCCCTGGTCAAGGATTTTCACAGGTTTATTTTATTGGAAAGTAGGCTGTTAAACTGAAGTGTCGGAGCTGTTAACCGCAAATAGTTCACAAATAAAAGAGAAGCGAGTTTCTCCGGGTGTCCTGGCTAACAATCCATTGGATAAATTGGCCACTTAATTCATAATTGACTGACCCTACAATACGAGAATTGACTGCTGCGTTCGCCCACAAATACACAAAGTATAAATCCTGTGAAGAGCTTTGAGCAATGTTTCCACAATATGATCATGTGCTGTATCGAAGGCAAGGATTATTATTGTTGTTATCAATAATACAGAATGTGCTGTTATTGTCCCTATCTTGTTAATTGCAGGCTGTGCCTTATTCAAGAGATTACAAACAGAAGTATGATTACTTCAGGAAAAAGTTGAGGAAGCCAGTGAGTATTACTAAACCAACATTCGGAAGCGTTCTTGCTTCCTTACAGCAGAACACAGAGTGATTTTGGGAATTGACACGTTTAGCCAAAAAAGGGCCAAAATGATTAGTTAACAGATTCTGTCCCTATAAAATAATGTGCACGGTTTCAATTGAGAGCAAACAAGCTTCGGCTTACCAAACAAAATGACTTAACTACTATTTATTTTTTTCTTGAACACTTTTTTTTCTTGTACAGAAAGCTGTAAAAACAATTGGGGAACAATTCCCAGTTACACTGGTCTAGGTTTACTCTTGTTTATGTCGTGTTTTCCATTATTTTGAAGTTGGCTTTCCTTTTTTGTGGTTTTGGAAGAAATTTACAGTAAAACGGCATCAAAATAAGAGCTGCATTTAAGAATTAGCTCATTTCTAGTTGCTCTGAAAAGCTACATAAATGCAGTAAATCCAGAACCAGGGAGAATTTCTACCTCCAAAAAGGACGTTACAAAATGTCACCCAATCGCTGGGTGTATTAAGTTGTAGCTTTACATCGTGTCCTGTGGCTTGGGTCCCATATTACTGAACAACTGAGCTAAATCTAAGCGTCTTAATATTCCAAGCTGTGTGAAATAATACAGCGCAGAGAGACCTCAGGCTTGTAGCTGCTTATTGTTAGCAGCCTATCAGCAGGAAATCGCAGTGTTTATGAATTAGAAAGCCTCTAAATAGTTTTACATTTCCTGTTTTTAGTGGCTTATGAAAATCATTACTTATAAAAATTGGAAAATAATTTGCTCTCCTCACTCTCCTCACCCTGCGGTGATTTTGTTTTCTTATTCAGATTGAAGTTCCAAATCGTTTCGAAATGAAGCTAAGACGTAACACCATCTTAGAGGATTCCTACAGGAAAATAATGTCCGTGAAGAGGGCAGATTTCCTGAAAGCTAGGCTGTGGATCGAGTTTGATTCGGAAAAAGGTCTGGATTACGGCGGGCTGGCCAGGGAATGGTTCTTCCTCCTCTCCAAGGAGATGTTCAACCCTTACTATGGGCTGTTTGAGTATTCTGCCACGTAAGTAAGTTAGTTCTGCCTCGTAGGCAAACACTGCGGTGTTAGAACATAAAAATTCCTAGCCAAAAGAAGACCAAGGTCTATCTGGTTGGCCTTCCACCATCCTGGCAGTCATAGGCACATGTCATGTCCCAAACTATATCCCATGATATTTCCTAAAAGAAATCTGTCTAATTTGTTTTTGAAAGATTCAATACTTTCTGCTTCCACCATGTCCCGAGGCAGGAGGAAAGTAGCAATGGTGGGGGGGGAGAGGGGGTAGAATCGGGTAAAAATTCTCCCTAAAGGCACAGTGTGGAGTTTCTCTCACGAGCTACTGCCTGTGTTTGCTCGTACGCAGCGATTCTGTGCCACAAATTGCACAAGATGCCGGGGCAAAGGATACGTACTTGCTGCTTACAGAACTTTTCTTTTTTGGACAACCTCCTGACATTTGCCTTTCACTTTCAGGGACAATTACACTTTACAGATCAATCCAAACTCTGGCTTGTGCAACGAGGATCATTTGTCCTATTTTAAGTTCATTGGGCGCGCTGCTGGAATGGCTGTTTACCATGGGAAGCTGCTGGATGGTTGGTAATGTTTTACCTGAATAGAGGCTTTGTAATGCTCGGTTAGCAGAGACATTGTGGTGCAGATCAGAAAGCTCCAAGTTCAATCGCTGCAGTGTGTCCACAAAGACCCATGTTTTTTGTTTTCGACTGTGCACTGACCAACAACTGAAACATGTGGAAGAATGATGGTAACTGTGTTTCACTGTATTCAGACGTCTCGAGGATTGGTGTGAGCGCCAGTGTTTTCACGGCAGATAATGATCCGTCACCATGTTCGGTGCAGTATCTTCCGTGAAATGATGGAGTGATGAAGCAAACTTGTTTCAGCTCCTCTGTATTTCTCATATCACTGTTTTGTAACAGGGAGTAAGAGGACTTTGTGGACACCCTGTTGATGATGGTGATGGATGAGGAACATTATTCATCCAAGTACCGAAGAGTCTAAATAGTCAGATAATTAACACTCCTGGGTTTTGGGTGGATTTTTAAAAATATATACCCAATCTGCTTCAACTTCTCTGTTCTTTATACAGGATTCTTTATCAGGCCCATGTACAAGATGATGCTTCAGAAGGCAATAACACTGAAAGACATGGAATCAGTGGTAAGTATGTCTGTCACACTTTGAAAACCTGAACAGGTTTTTGCATTTATTCAATTGGCATCCTCGCTCTTTTTAACGCTCGGGAAAGTGAGGTAGTTATTGCTGGAACAATATTGAGAGCTTGTGAAGCCGAGCTGCGGGCGTTTTTGAATACTCTGCCATTTCTTTTAGTTAACAAGTGGGATAGTGCAATGGACCCTTTTAATAAGCCACCTTTCACCTTCCAGGACAGCGAGTATTACAATTCACTGATGTGGATTCTGGAAAATGACCCTACAGACCTGGACCTCCGATTCACGGTGGACGAGGAGCTTTTTGGTCAGGTTAGTGTGGGTGTTTGTTACTTGGACTTTCGTAGCCTGTTGAACTTGTGTGCGACGGAGTCAGAACTCACATGGCCCGTTTTAAAAAAAGAAACTTTGACACGTACTGAACACTTGTTAGATGCATTGACATATTTGGACCCCTGTTTGGTTCTGTCTCCGTGCCTGTGGGGATCAATATCCAAACAGAGCAGTGCATGCGGCATCCACCGCAAACGCTTGCTGTGTGAGAAGAGTTTTCCGACCCCAACTAAAATTGAGTTGAAAGGCTCTGTGTTCCTCTATCAGTGCTCTGGTCTTCAGAGAGTGCCTTTTGTGTTAAAACTGGGCTCCGACAGACACCCACATTTACAAAAGGCCCATAATCCAGGGCTGGATAGCGTCACCTACTGGTACTGAGCAGGGTACTGACCATCCTGGTGACGGCCATAGCATTCGGGTCCTATTCGCGACTAAGACGTTGAAACTGTTTTGAGTCCACAACATACACAGTCGCATCACTTTGCAGGGTATCCCGTGAAGCCCTTTGAGGCGTTGTGATGGCGTAATAAAGTGCTATATCAGATGCAAGGAATATTATTTATTATCTTCAAAGCGGTGGCTTATTTCAGTACTTGTGCCTTTCTGAGTGAGCGCTTTAGGTATCTTGCTGCAGTGCTTTAATCGCTCTGTGTCTGCTTCCAGCACTGCCCAGCTGTTATGCAGGACACTGTGAGTTTGAGTTCAAATTCCTGAACCCCGACTTTGGGAGAAAAAAAGAACAGCAATTAACTAAACGCTTCATCCAATTCATTGTTTTCCTCTTTCATAGCCTCACAGTGGTAGCAAATTCCAAGTGCCGGCTTTTGACACCCGTTGCTCAGTAACACAAAATACATAATTGATACCATCGCCTTAGCAACTGACCCGGCCGGGCACTGGCAAAGATTAACTTGTTCCAAAAAGTCTTGAAGGCTGTTTCCGAGTTACTCGTCCTGTTATTTACGTGGGTGTGGAATATATTCTTCGATTAAACTTCCTCATTCCAAACAATAATAAGACTTATATACTTGGTGTCAGCTTGGCTCAGTTGCCAAATTTCTGCACCAAAGTACCTAATGGACTCACTAAAAAGTACTGAAATCAGCCACTTTTTTGAAGATGTAAGTAATAGTCTTTGCGTTTGATACAGTGCCTTATCACTCTCGGCTCCCGAGCCTGAAGGTTGTGCTGGTGGGGCGGTGGGAATGGTGGGGGAGAGTGCTGCACTGTTTGAGGTGCCGTCCTTCGGATGAAACTTAAAAACTGGTCTTGGTTTGAAATGAACATGCATCATTTTCAACCGACTGCTCTCTCGTGGTCAATGACATTATAAGTGTTATAGCCATTAACGTGCAGTTGTTTTTAATTTTAACCCCCATCAGACTCAACAGCATGAACTGAAGCCTGGCGGATCAGAAATATTAATTACAAACAAAAACAAGAAGGAGTACATTCAGTAAGTCTTTTTTAACTTTGGCGTTTGGGAAGAGGGGGATGACAGTGATATCATTTAAGTCGTATCATTTCACATTTCACGTAAAGAAATGCTCGCACAATATTGACCAGTTGTAGTTGCAGTTTAAATGCCTCAAGGCGCCTTTCTTCGTGTGGACTTTGTGATTGAATAAAATTGGAGAAACAAAATCCTTTTGTTGAGTTTCTTTGTGCTCAGGGATGTGACTGCTGCAGAATGCAACGCGATTTCGGGCTTTTGTTCCCCCTGTTTAGCTCAGTTGGCGATGTTAGCTCTGCTCAGTCGAAAGGTTGTGGGTTCAAACCCCACGTCGGAGGCTTGACCTCCTGGAAAGAGGGGGGAGGGGGTGGGAGGGAGGTGGTGTGGGGGTGGGTGTGGGTGGGGGTGAAGAGGAGAAAATGTCTGTTCATTTACAGTTCAAAAGTATTGTTACTTTTCTAGCCTGGTGATGCAGTGGAGGTTTGTCAACAGAATCCAGAAGCAAATGAATTCATTTCAAGAGGTAAAAGGGCTAAAACTCTGATATCCTTAGTTGTGAGGTTTAATGCTGTGTGTGTGGTGAAGGGGAGATAACTTATTGACACATCTATAAGTTTCATGCATGAGTAATGGCTAAGAAGAGCCCAGCTGCCTGCATTCTTATTGTGCACTGGATGATTTTATTGGGCGATGTGATCCTGGGTTCTTTCAGGGAAAAGTTATCGCCACTAAGCATCTGAATCGCCCAAGTACAATGCCTTTAAAATTACTTTCCACTTCTGGGGATGTTTTTTTTCCCCCAAAACAATTAGCAGCTTAAAATTAAGACAATATCTGTCTGGTGAGATGGCGCCCCATGGGTCTTCGCTGACATTGATTCTTCAGAGCCTGAGGGCAAACTCCATTCTGTCATTGCTGGGGTGGGGGGGTGGGGGGTTGTCTCAAACCGGTTAAGGACACCTTTTAATTGCACGCGCTCTCCACTGTGTTGATCCAACGCATCACGTGATCCGTGTGATTGGTTTCTTTGCAGGGCTTCTTCGAGTTGGTACCACAAGATCTCATCAAAATATTTGACGAGAATGAGCTGGAGGTAAATTGCGCGTTGAGCTCATTTCACGTACAGCTATTTATTTCTGTTGCTGCTTATTATTCTGTGTGTTTTAGGGAACTCTCTTGTGACCTCCTTCTGCCTTGCCTTGCTCTACCCTCACCCCTCTCCTCTCGCCTCTCCCTCCAAAGGAGTCATCTATTTTATTCCAATTTCAACCACATTCCCTCATCCACCCTGCCTTACCATCTCTCTCCCTGCTCAAGCTCGCGCTCTGCCTTTATAAATCGCTTTGAGACATTCTCCATCATTGGAAGGCAGTGTATGAGTGAGTGTTGTTATGATGCTATGTTTGGAGTCCTGTAGCTCAGGGGGTAGAGCACTCGCCTCGCAAGCAAGAGACTTGGGTTTGATTCCCGGCAGGACGAAACCTTGGGCAAGTTTCCTTACTCCACACACACAACTGATAATAATCCCTCAAGGAAATAAATAAAATAACAATTTGTTCACTCAATCCACAACTGTTTGTGGGACACTGCTGTGCGCAATTGGCTGCTGCGTTTTGCCCACAAATATACAGTGAATTCATTTTACAGTATATTCTGTGAAGCGCTTTGAGACGTCTAGAAGACGTGAAAAGCGCTATATCAAATGCAAGGATTATTATTATTATTATGTTGACAATGATTTCCAGCTTCTCATGTGCGGGCTTGGAGATGTGGACGTGAATGATTGGAGACAGAACACAAAGTACAAAAATGGCTATGAAATAAACCATCCGGTCATCCAGTGGTTTTGGAAGGTAAGGAAAGATCAAAAACAATAGTGAAGCATCTTATTACCAACATTTAAGTAAAAAGTCTAAACCTAAAGGATATTATTAAGCTCTCTGAGATGCTACTTGCGTGAAAAGCACTATATAAATGCGAGTTGTCATTTCACCTACAAATCCAGTGACACCACAGTTAACCCTATGCTTTGAGACTTCCTCCTTGCAAAGTTTGTTTGGCCTACCAACTAACATTAGTGCAGTATTTAGCCATCGAGTTTCTTTGAGTTAGAGTAACAAATTACCCAGAATCAGTAATAAACTACCAAGTTACTGTAACTGGAGTCAAACCATGAACGGCAGCGTAAAATGTGACATCTTCCTTCTTGTGTACAGGCCGTGCTGTTGATGGATTCGGAGAAGCGTATTAGGTTCCTGCAGTTTGTGACCGGCACGTCTCGAGTACCTATGAATGGATTTGCCGAGCTCTATGGTGAGCGTTGCGGAAAAACACTCCTTTGTGTCTGACGTCACTGTTGTCTTCACTTCTCTTGACATTTTTTATTCTGGTGATAAATTGGGATATTCACTGGCAGAATTAAGACTGGTGATTACACTGTTCACCTTTATTTCCTTTTAAAAAGAAGTAAATGGATCAATAATGTGGCCGGTATCTCTTGATTGGAATTTTTTTTCCCAAGAATAAATGAATTCCTCTGTGTCTTCTCCAGGATCAAATGGACCACAGCTATTTACTATAGAGCAATGGGGGACCCCTGAGAAATTGCCAAGAGCACACACATGGTAAGTGTATAGGTTTTAAGAACGGTATTAAAGTTCTTTTTAGTGGCTTATAGTACAGGTTGTGACATGATATTGGAAGGTGAAGCCTTAAATTAACAATTAAAAAAACAAGACGCCTATTCCATCGTCTCACACCCAAAGTTTTTTTTAGTTCCTTTAGGTCATTTTGTCTGATAATTTTTGCTTCCAGTTTCAACCGTCTGGATCTGCCGCCTTACGAATCGTTTGAAGAATTGCGAGACAAGCTTCACGTGGCGATCGAGAACGCAGAAGGGTTTGACGGAGTAGATTAAGGTTGACCACAAACCGGCCGGTGTTAGGTTTACGGCGTCAGGCTGCAAAAATGCACTGGAAAAAAAGAACACAATATTTATTCGGTGATCCGGATGTGCAGCTTCAGGGTTGAACCTTACATGCAGGAAGGAGCGAGTTATCTTTATTTTTAACATACATCACTAAACTAACATTCTGGATGTTCACTCACATGAATTCTCTGCGCTCCATCCACCTATATATAGTTGGTCTGGTGAGGGATGCTTTGTGAGTTGTTTAACACGGGCTTCTTTTGGCCTGATGGCTTCCTTCGTTAAGGTCTGTTGTGACAGCAGCTCTCAAATATGCATCTGTTAATTTTGTGGTTCCAAATAACATTGGCCGGGAGAAGAAAATAAATCCCTAGTCAGTCCAGTGAGCCTGAGCAAGTGTTCTTTTTTTGGCTGAGTCACGCTGAGAGGCTTGATAAACATGCGTCATATCCCCAGAAGCCCGAAAGCTGTGGAGGTTAAAGGGAGAGAACTGATTGAGGTGTTTTCAAAGAGAAGAATTCACAACTTGGATGAGCAATGACTCTTCCCTCTCGTAGAGGGACCCAAAACAAGGGGATATAGTCTTAAATTTATTTAGAGCTGAGATGGTTAGAAATGAAATCAGAAGACATTTTTTCACACGAGGAGTTGGGAGAATGAGGCCGCAGGAGGCTTTCAATGCAAAATTGATTGGGATATTCGAACGGTAATTAGTTAAATGGGAAGTAAGATTATTATGGGATACGGGGGGGGGGGGGGAAGAGGCGAAAAAATGGGATTGAAAGTTCTTAACTTGGCGTAACTGTCCAAATGGCTTGAAATTTCCCCCTTCCTTCCCACCCACTGAGTCAGAACATTGCACCAGTGATACTGTGCCACTTTAGTTCCATAATTAGTTTGGGAACCTGCTGGGTTTGGGGCGAAGCATAGCATAGAGTGTCCAGTACGTGTTTGAGCATTTACGACGTGTTAATGTCACGCGTTGGGGGTAAAGGCTCTTGCTAATAGAACTTCAATACAAGCTACTGAAAAGATAACCCTGTTCAATGCGGAGAGTAGATAATTAAAATGTGAATGTTTTGATTGAGAGAAGGTGAAATCACTGCGTGAAATCTTGCCGCAAGTAATGGAATATAAAGTATGAAAAGTCGATCCACCTTTGGATTTCGGCTTTTCGTTGTCACACCCGTCTGCGATCTGTAAGCTGTTCTCATTTGTTGCATCGCTCCCCAAATATATTGCTGTTTGCACCTTCTGCAGGGGCTGGGGTGAGGGGAGTCTGCAATTATAATTATTGAAGCAATTTTTTTTTAAAAAACTAATTTTTCTACTGGAGCATTAATCGCACATTTTAAACATTTCAGAGATTGTTACTTAATACTTGGCAGTGGTCTTGATTTTAGAATATGGCACTCGCAAACTCACCTAGCTGGGCATCTGTCTGTGCTGGCGTGAGATAAAAAGAAGGAATGAGGCGGAGGGGGGGAGGCTGCTGAATATTTGCCATTGCACCATGTTATTTTACACAGAGAACGACTGTGTAAATATTATAATGCACACTTCAACTTTTTACACAGTCCGCAGCAGTCACCTGTAATAATGTTTGATTCATTAAAATTTACTTTCTGATTGACTGATCGATGATGGTGTGTGTTCCATTTCCAATATTTGTGGCGGAGGTTGAAATCTTTGTAAGTTTGCCTTTGCCAAGATATATCATAAAATATTACGTTTCACTTTATTTCCTCTAAAATGAGCCTCGAATTAACTGTTACTGTAAAACAGTGAAAAATGCGACAGAATAAAGTTTACACTTTTTGAAAATTGCACATAACGATTTACAAGTTATTGTGAATTGTTATTGTGGTTTATTGTGAATTGTATAATCAAAGGAGTGAATTCTTTACCAGAACTTTTTTTTCCTCATGCAGTTTGAGATACTGTATTTGCATTGATCTGATTCAGAATGTCTATACTGAGAATTTAATAAGAACGATGATACTTTTAAGTAAAGACATTTACGTTGAAGATGTGAATCCTGGTTTCTTCCTCTTCTGGGTGGAAAGAGATGAACTGAATGTTGTGATAAATGGGTCTTAATATTTGAGACTTGCCTCATGTAGCAAGACAAATGACTGTTAAAAGCCTCACCCCCCACCTTTAAATATGACATGAGTGTTATAACAGGAGCTGTGTTGTGTAAATATACTACGGAACAAAAGTGATTCCAAATTGTACATGTTCCTTAAACTATGTTTGCACACTGCACAATATATATTCACTTCTGTTTGTAAATATCTTCTGAGAACAATCAAACAATCCACTAACTTTACCGTTACCAAATGAATAAAAGTGACGCATGCAGAAGCATCCTTTCGCCTCTAAGGTCACAATTTTTAGAATAGGGTTGAAAACAATCCTGCAAATGTATAATGCACTTATAATTAAAGGAATGCAACTAATTTGGGGGCGAGATTGTGTTGTACAACAGCGCTCCGAGATGCTATTGCGTGTGAAGGACGCTATATAAATGCAAGTTGTCATCGTCGTTTAAGTATTAATTGTGTACTCTATTTATAACAATGTGTTCATCAAAGCTGTATTTTGAATTTTCGTTCAGCTGAGTTTTCAAAAGGTTGGAAACTGTTTTTTTATTAATCCAGCACTCTTCCGTGCCATCGCAAGTTGTAAATGTATTTTATTTTTGTCTAAAGTGTTCTCTGCCTTTGGATACGTTGTCTTATTACTACAGAAAAAAAAGTGTTCCTATCGGGTTTGCACTAAAGTTGCTAGGATAATTCTCCATGCTATGCCTGGTCTGCAGCATGGGCAGGTTCCATCTGTGTTGGACTATCTGACTGGCTTGTTTTTACCTCCAAACAGATTGATAATAAAGTGGTGTGAAAAAAAAGTATTTTGTTGTTTCCCCTCCTCCCCCTCTCAGCGCTGGTACCATTACCCACAGCCAAGAGGTGTGTATGCACCGGTTCCCAGGTCCCCAACAATCACGCTCTTAACTTAGCTGTTAGGAGCTTTTCTCCTACTCTCCTACTTTTCTGTTCGCCCCCTCCCCTTGATAAACTAGGGCCTGCTGCTTGTCCCCCGTCGGGGATTGGGGAAGCCAGGCCTTTTTGCAACTATGCACCCAACCTTTGGAACTTCACTTCCCCCACCCCCTCATCTCTATCGATAAATCCCAGCTGAAAAAATAACCTCTTTGACCGCATCAAAAGTCCACCCACTCCTCCCTTACTCCGCATACGGGAGCAGCGTATCTGAGCTGCCATCCTGCATGAGTTATATGACTTCCAAGTTGTTGTGCAATGAGGAACTCGCCTTGCAAGGCACGACCTGCATCTTCTGATGAATTATCCTTAATAGCGCAGTGATATTAATTCCTGACCCAGAGGATTTATTTTCCTTTTCCGCTGGCTGAAACGTACTAAGCAGCCAAACTTTACCAGTCGGTGTGCGTATTGATTAACTGGGGGGGGAGAGGAAGGGGAATTGTGTGTCCAGTTGCTGATTGTTGAAGCAGGAAGTGTCCATGCATTTAAGAAGAAACTCAACCTGAGAGAGAGGGAAGGGAATAAATATGGGGGTGGGGGGGTGGAGCGGAGAAAGGAATTGGCGCTATTTCAAATTGAAAGGATTATTTATTGTTCCGATCAGCGTGAAACTCCCACTTCGCCATCCCAACAAAGTGCCTTAACCAAAAGCTCAAGAGAGCAACCCCATCTGATCCACTGTGACATTTTAATTCTTCATGCAGGCGTCCCTGTGGGCTGTCTCCAAGCCACATTCTCAGTTCAGAGAGAAGTCGTGCGGGGTTCTGGGTTGAGACTGTCTGAGTAGAAATTCCACCTAGGTCTAGATTTACTCCGGCCACCTTAGTATTCCAGAGTTTGACACGTAGATGTACAGTACAATTTTGAAGTCGGTTTTCCTATCGGGTTCCTTTTTTTAAAAAAAAACACACACTACAGAAAACCGTCTTTGAAGAAAAAGACTGAATTCAAACAATACGGCAAATTCCGAAAGGCTGAGAAAATAAAGAGTAAATCCAAACCCAGTGGAATTTCTACTCCATCCTTTCCAAACTTGTTTGAAGTTGTAAGGGAAGGAATCTCTTTTTAAAATCCCATTAGAAACGACTTGAATTTGAGCCCAGGTCCCAGACGTGAAAAGATTCTTTGTCAGTAACTTTTACTCTTAATTTAAGAGTTTCGATTAAAAACTTGCAGGACTCTGGGATAAGAGCAGGGAGAATGGGAGTAGGATAGGCCTTTCAAATAGCCGGCACAGGCACGATCGGCCGAATGGCCTCCTTATTTACTATGAATAAAAAAACAGCATGAAATTCCTCCATAACATCAAGGCACCAGTTGCTTTGAGCATGATTCCCACCGGGAGCTCTATTGACAAAATATTCATACAGACTTCCACGCAGAACAACTTTTTAAGAGTTCTGCATCATCTGTTTATATATAATATATGTGTGTATATACAGTATATACTTTTGGAGGGGTCTGCCTTTCCCCAGAGATAGAAAATAAAAAGGGTACAGTTTGCGTTTCGAGATGATATATATATATATTTTTGTGTGAATGAAAATCTGTTGCGTTCAAATGAAACTGCCGAGTGTTACTCCAATAGCATCTGAATGAAATGCAGCCACTAAATAATATAACTTCGCCATTCAGCGGTTTGGCTAAGCTTTTTGTGACGAGAAAGTGTAAGAATGGATTTTTTTCTGTTTGGAGCCAGTCTTGCCGTTTGGGCTTCAGTGTTGTATCTTGTGCATCTTAATTGTTTTCTAAAAAAAATTATACCTTTATACGATTTAATGTACCTTGTCATGTAGTCTGTACTAACAGTATAACTGTTAATAAAATATTGTCATGTTGAACATCATTCATTAATAAAACACTTGGATTACTTCAATTGAAACCTAAAGACTCCCAACACAGAGTCATGAAAGGTCTTAATTAAAAGCACTCTTTCTTTGCATAGGATTAAGGCGAATTGGGTACCCAGTTTTCAAACAATTCTATTTTATTTATTGTTCCTTCTCCCTCTCACACCACCTCAGAATCAATGTCCACTGACAAATATTACAATACATCTTGCTGTACAGATAGCTTCAATTTTATTATTATTTTTACAAATAGCTCAATTTTATTACCATTAAGCTTGTAAGTCAATTGAGTGCAATTACACACCCTTTACTCCCCTCCCCCCCCACCCTTCTCCACCCAGCATTTTTCACTCTATCTCATCTCGTGTAACTTGACACCTCTTGTTAATTTGCTTTTTTGTAAATTGAATGATTAATGTTGCGGAGGGGAAGAGATTTGACCCAAAATTGTATTTGTACAGCAATAAAAAGGTCAGAAATATTCATCAGTTGTGTCAGAGGCAGAATTATGCCCCATTATCTTGCAAAGGGGATAAGAGTTTTGTCAGTTTAGTGCTTTGATTAATGGCTATAATAACACGGTGGGCTAGTACCCAGAACACACTGGATGAAAGACACCAATGATCTTTCCCCCAGGCTGATCTATCCACGACACACCAGATGGTTTTGCAACACTTGGCAGACAGTTTGGGTTGTGAGACGTACATGAAAAAGAAATGATAAGGGAGAGAAAATCAACAAAACTTTGGCTTCCCCCCACCAACCCTCCCAAATATATTTTACCAAATATTTTCCTGGATTTATTCTATTTTTGATTTCGTGCGATATGGATCATTAAGATTGTAGTAATGTTTTTATTTGCCTGATAGAATAACTTCTAATTGTTCATTTAGATTCTGTCCATTCAGTGGAGTTCTGTAGTGGTTAGCGCAATACTGGGTTCGATTCCCGGGAGGGTGATATGTTGGGCAAGTTTCCTTACTCCACACGCCTCTGTTTACCTAGCAGTAAGTAGGAACCCGGTTGTTAGTCAATTGTCGGATCGCTTTTCCGGGTTAATAATTCCTTAAAAAAAATAATTATTTGGTCACTTCAATGCACGACTATTTGTGGGACACTGCCGAGCGCAATTGGCTGCCTTGTTTCATCCACAAAATGTACAGTCAATTCACTTCACAGTATATTCTGTGAAGCGCTTTGAGCCGTCTGAGAGACGCGATAAGGCGCTATGACAAAATGCAGGGATTATCAAGTTACATCCACGCCGCATTAAATAAACTTCTATCATTTCAATGCACCTTGCGCAACTGCAGCTATTATGTTTGTCTTTACAATGGTCATCATCATCATCATCATCTCACGGAGAGATTGGGTGGAGATGCGGTATTTGTTTCGAATGACTGAACGTGTTGTGCAAAAGAGGAACGGTTCAGGTGACCGAAATCCAATGCATTTCACTGCAAACCACGGCGCGCATTTCAAGGATCGTCTTGATGCACTCACACGAAGTGGCCACTGGGCGGCAGTCAACATTTGACAGACACAATCCAGAGCATATGGGACTTTAAATGGGTGTATAGTGTAATTATTGACAGGTTGAAAACATTTGGTACAAGCTGCAATTATGTATTCTTTCCTCAGATCCCTGAAAGAGGCAGCAGGAAAAGGTGCAATTTGTTTTTTTTTTGATTGGCCGGGTGCGGAAACCCAACACC